CCGGTGCCGTGCGGGCCCGGGCCGCTGCACAGGGCCTCGGGGTTCAGCCTGACGCCGGGACAGGCTGGGAGCCTGCAGGCACTGGTGGGACCTCGCTGCTGCCTCTGGGTCCCTCCGGGATGGGCCACGCCAGCGGGCAGGTCGGGAGCAGGCTGGATGCCTGGGGCCCCGGAGGGAGAGTGATGTGTGGCCTCTGCTCTGTGACGCTCCCTTCCACTGAAAACAAACAGCTCGTGTCTCGGGGGAGGCAAGGCCGGGCTGCTTACCTCCTGGCCCCTTTTCCTTCTACCCTGCTAAGTCTCTGTCTCATCCCTCTTCTTCCCACGTGCTGGCAGCTGGGAGACTTACTCTGCGGCAGCGTGTGTGTTGTGCCTGGCAGGTGAGTCACCAAAAGCCTCCTGATGGCCTCTGCCTGGAGCGGGTACAGCAGGGCAGCGGCTCCCAGGGCAGCGGCTCCCCCTGTCTCCCTGATCTCTGCTCCCTGTGCTCTTTGGCCATGAGGTCTGGGACAGCCAGCGGCTCTTGTTTACTTGCACCGGTTTAACAGCCTGAGCTGGGGCCAAGCCCTCGCATCAGAATCCACTGCTTTGCCGAGCCCACCCCGCCTTAAAACCAACTCCGCTTCTGTGTGTTGCAGGAATCCCACTGTCGATGTAAAGAAACCCCAGGCTGTCCTACTTGTCCTGGCTTCCCCGATTGTACAGATGGTGCGGGACAAATGGAGGCGGAGAGAATGCTCTAATCGATTAAAAGGAAATGTAATCCCATCTCGTAGCATGTTACCTTCTTCCGAGGCAGCAAATTGCAGCTCATGCTGCACCAGTGGCCGAGTGCCCGGGGCAGGCTCTTGCCCCCATGCCAGGGTCTGCCAGGGTGTGGTGTGCCTGCAGCACTGCCCTGGGGTTCAGCTGGGGATTCCCGTGGGAGATTCACCTGTGGGAGGCTTACAGGCAGATTCTGTAACACCCTCCCTGCACTATCAGCCACCTCTAATAATCCACCTGGATAGCAGGATTACGGCAGCGCAGGAGGAGGCATCCGCAGGGCAGCACTGGTCTGTGCCAGAGGCTTCCTGTCCTGACCCCCGCCCCATCCGGCACTGGCTTTTGCTCGGCCTCCCAGCTCCGTTGCTGCAGGAATTCACGTCGGCTGGGCTATTTCTTCACAGTGGTACTTGCAGCTGGACAGCAGCTGCCCAGGCTTTGACCTGTTCCCCCACTGCTGCGTTTCCACTGCGCGTGTGGCATAGAGCTGGGGAAATCTCTTCCTGCTCCTTGGAGACAGGCTTGGTGCGGGGGGGGAAGCAGATGCTGTACGTGGTGGGAGTCTTTCCTGAATCTGTGTGTGGTGGGAGCGGCTGATGATGTTGCTCTGCTGAAGTTGCTGCTTGCCCCGGGTCTGTCCCGAGGAGGCTGCGGGAGGTGTCTGCAGCGAGCTCGCTGGTCCCCACGCGCCTCGAGAAGCAGCAGTGCCTCTGGGAAGGAGTGGGTTCGAGCGAGGGGCCGGTTCTGTCTGTGCCAGACACCCAAGGATGCGTGTCTTGCCAACGGCACCATCTGCTGCGAGGCTCCTTGCTCAATGCTGCTGTCCCCAGAGGGATTTCAGGTTCCCTCTGCTGTGCAAACCCCCCCAGCGTGGGCTTGCCAGCCGGGGGAGGCCGAGGCGGCCGCTGGCCCCTGTGTGCGTAGGGCTGCAGTCCCTCTGCCTTGCTCTAATCCCCTTTTCCCTCCAGTCTTCCAGCCTGGGAAAGCGAGTTGGCTTGCCTGTGTGGGCAGCTGCTCCAGCAAAGGTCAGCGGGCAGCAGGTTCGGCCTCCTGCCTGCCCTCCCTGCGAGCTCAGCTCCCTGCGGCTCCACAGTCGGAGTGGGGCATGGCTATTTTCGGTGCTGCCACCCAGGATGTAATCTTGGCTGCCTCCTCTTCTTCTCACCACCACCTCCTCCCCCTCCTCTTGCTCGCTCTGTCTTTCTCTCCCCCCTCCACAAGTGATCAAAAATAGTGCCTGTGGTGTTAAATTTCTCACTCTGTAGCTTATTAAAAGCCTCTGAGTGCCTGACGCTGAGCCTATTTGAAGCTCAGCCGACTTCCCTGTTTCTGAGCTGCTCCAGTGCCTTTTTCTTCCCTTCCCCTCTCTTTCCTTTTTTTTCCTTTTTTTTTTTTAAAGGTCATACGTTGTGCCGTGCATAAGCAAAGCCTCAAAGTCAGAGCGAGTGCTAATTAAAACGTCTCGGGAATAACTGGGGACGGTCGGCTTTGCTCCCTCTTCCGCTCCCTCTCGCTCTCCTCTGTCCACGGTTTCTATTTGCGGCGTGCGTGTGCCTCTCTCGACACACGCAGCCGCTCTCCTTCTGACGGAAGGTGGCTGGGTTGTTTTTTCTAATGGAAGAGGGTTGGCGAGGCCGGGAAGCTGGGGAAACGGCCAGCTGCTATTTTTAGGATGGGAAAAAAGTGTCTCCGTCAGCGTCCTCTCAGCAGCTCTTCCCACTGCCTCCCGCCAGCTCAGGGGAGACGGGGGACCAGCAGGGATGCAGCCCTGCCTCCTCACAGGGTGCCCTTGGCCGGGCTCTCCGCGGCCTGACGCCTGCTGGGACTTGTAGTCTGCGTTTGGGGGGAGCAGCGAGGGCACCTCCGGCTTGCTCCATGCCCGAGGGATCCCGGGGATGCCTGTGCCCCCCGCTGTGCCCAGGAGCAGCTCTGCCTCTGGCAGGGGCTGTCTGGCCCCCATGGGTGTGGGGAAAGGGTTTTTTCCTAAGCCC